TAAAAAAAAAAAAGAAATACAAGGGAAAAGAAACAATGGAAAAATAGAACAATCTGAAAACAAGAGATAAAATGTCAGTATTAACCTCTCATATATCAATAATCACTCTAAATTTAAATGAATTGAATTCACCAATTGAAAGACACGGAGTGGCAGGATGGATTAAAAAATAAGATGCAACAATATGCTGCCTCCAGGAGACCCATCTCAGCTCTAAAGACAAACACAGGCTCAGAGTGAAGTGGTGGAAGGCAATATTCCAAGCAAAAGGCAAACAAAAGAAAGAAGGTATTGCCATATTTATATCAGACAAAATAGACTTCAAGCCAAAAATGATAAGAGACAAACATGGACATTATATAATGATAAAGGGGACGTTTCACCAAAAAGACATAACACTTATTAATATGTGTGCAGCTAACACAAGAACACCAAAGTATATAAAGCAACTATTAATGGACCTAAAGGGAGAAATTGACAGCAACACAATAATAGTAGGGGACTTTAACATCCCACTTACATCAATGGATAGATCATCCAGATAGAAAGTTAATAAGGAAATAGTGGCCTTAAATGAAATGCTAGACCAGATAGACTTAAAAGATATATATAGAACATTCCATCCCCAAAGAGCAAAATATGCATTCTTCTCAAGTGCACATGGAACATTCTCAAAGACCGACCAAATGTTGGAGAAAAAGGTAAGCCTCAATAAATTTAAGAAGATTGAAATCATATCAAGCATCTTTTCTGACCACAATGGTACAAAATGAGAAATCAACTACAAGAAAAAGGCTGGAAAAGTCAGAAACATGTGGAGACTAAACAACATGCTTCTGAACAACTATTGGATCAATGAAGAAACCAAAGGAGAAATCTAAAAATACCTGGAGAGAAATGAAAATGAAAACACAACATACCAAAACTTACGGGATGCCGCAAAAGCAGTACTATGAGGGAAGCTTACGGAAATACTGGCCTGTCTCAAGAACCAAGAGAAATCTCAAAGAAACAATGTTACACTATACTTTAAAGAACTAGGAAAAGAACAAAAAAGCCCAAAGTCAATAGAGGGAAGGAAATAATAAAAATCAGAACAGAAATAAATGAAATAGAGACTAAAAAAGACAATAGAAAGGATCAATGAAACTTTGAGAAGATAAACAAAACTGACAAACACTTAGCCAGAATCACTGAGAAAAAAAGAGAGAAGACTCAAATAAATAAAATCAGAAGTGAAAGAAGAAATTACAACAGACATCACAAAAATACAAAAGATAATGACAGAATACTACGAAAAGCTATACACTATCAAATTGGATAACCCAGAAGAAATGGATAAATTCTTAGAATCATACAAACTCCCAAAACTGAATCAAGAAGAAATAGAGAATCTGAAGAAACCAATCACAAGTAAAGAGATTGAAACAGTTATCAAAAATTTCCCAAAAAACAAAAGTCCAGGACCAGGCGGCTTCTGTGGTGAATTCTACCAAACATTCAAAGAAGATTTACTACCTATCCTTCTTAAACTCTTTCAAAAAATTGAAGAGGATGGGGTGCTTCCTAACTCATTTTATGAGGCCAACATCACCCTGATTCTAAAACCAGAGAAGGACAACACAAAATAGGGAAATTACAGGCCAATATCAGTGATGAACACAGATGCAAAATCCTTCAATAAAATATTAGCAAATTGAATACAACAATATGTTAAAAGGATCATACACCATGATCAAGTGGGATTTATTTCAGGGAATGCAGGGATGGTTCAATATCTGCAAATCAATGCGATACACCACATTAATAAGATAAAGAATAAAAACCACATGATCATCTTAATAGATGCAGAGAAAGCATTTGATAAGATCCTACAGCCATTTATGATAAAAACTCTTAATACAAGGGGTATAGTAGGAAAGTACCTCAATATCATAAAGGCCATATATGACAAACACACAGCCAACATCATACTCAATAGTGAAAAACTGAAAGCTATTCCTCTGAGAACAGGAACAAGAGAAGGATGCCCACTCTCACCACTCTTATTCAACACAGTACTGTTTTAGCCAGAGCAATAAGGCAAAAAAAGAAAAAAAAAAAGAAAAAGAAAGAAAAGAAATAAAAGGGATCCAAATTGGAAAGGAAGAAGTAAAACTGTCACTATTTGTAGATGACATGATTCTATAAATAGAAAACCCTAAAAATACACCAAAAACTATTAGAAATAATCAACAGATACAGTAAAGTTGCAGGGTATGAAATCAACATACAAAAATCAGTTGCATCTATACACTAATAACAAACTAGCAGAAAGAGAAATCAAGAATATAATCCCATTTTCACTCACAACAAAAAGAATAAAACACCTAGGAATAAATTTAACCAAGGTGAAAGACCTATACACTGAAAACTATAAGACATCACTGAAAGAAATCAAAGAAGACATAAATAAATGGAAAGACATTCCATGCACATGGATTGGAAGAATAAACATAGTTAACATGTCCATATTACCTAAAGCAATCTATAGATTTAATGCAACCCCAATCAGAATCCCAGTGACATTTTTCACAGAAATAGAAGAATCCTAAAGTTCATATGGAACAACATAAGACTCTGAATAGTCAAAGCAATCCTGAGAAAAAGGAACAACGCTGGAGCTATAGTAATCAAAACAAAATGGTACTGGCACAAAAACAGACAGACAGATCAATGGAACAGAACTGAAAGCCCAGAAATAAAAGTACACATCTATGGACAGCTAATCTTCAACAAAGGAGCCAAGAACATACAATGGAGAAAGAAAAATCTCTTCAATAAATGATGTTGGGAAAACTGGACAGCTACATGCAAAAGAATGAAAGTAAACCATTATCTTACACCATACAGAAAAATTAACTCTAAAAGGATTAAAGAGCTGAATGTAAGACCAGAAACCATAAAACTCTGAGAAGAAAACATAGGCAGTACACTGTGACATCGGTCTTAGCAGCAACTTTTTAAATACCATGTCTACTCAAGCAAGGGAAAGAAAAGAAAAAAGAAACCAATGGGACTACATCAGACTAAAAAGCTTCTGTGAGGCAAAGGAAATCATGAACAAATCGAAAAGACAACTCACCAACAGGGAGAAAATATTTGCAAATCATATATCCAGCAAGGGGTTAATTTCCAAAATATATAAAGAACTCACACAACTCAACAACAAAAAGACAAACAACCCAATCAAAAAATGGGCAGAGGATATGAATAGACGTTTTTCCAAAAAAGATATAAAGATGGTCAACAGGCACATGAAAAGATGTTCAGAGCCAGTCCTGAAAGTCTAGTGGTTAAAGTTCAAAGCTCTCACTGCTTTGGTGCCCTGAGTTTGCTTCCTGGTCATGGAACCACACCACCTGTCTGTCTGCTGCCATGCTGTGTTGGTGTCTCACATAGAAGAACTAGAAGGACTTACAACTGGGATATACAACCATGCACTATGGCTTTGGGGAGGAAGAAAAAAATAAAAGAAAAGATGTTTGGCATCACTAATTATTAGGGAAATGCAAATCAAAACTATAATGAGATATGGCCTCACACTTGCCAGAATGGCTATTATTAAAAAGACAAGAAATAAGTGTTGGAGAGGATGTGGAGAAAGACAATACTCATACACTGCTGGTGGGAATGCAAACTGGTGCAGCTATTATGGAAAACAGTATGGAGATTCCTTGATAAATTAAAAATAGAAATAGTATTTCATCCAGCTATTCCACTTCTGGGTTTTTATCCAAAGAAGATGAAAACACTAATGGAAAAGATACATGCACCCCTATGTTCATTGCAGCATTATTCACAATAGCCAAGACTTAGAAGCAACCCAAGTGCCCATCAACAGAAGAACAGATAAAGAAGATGTGGTGTATATATGCAATGGAATACTGCCTAGCCATAAAAAAAGGACAAAATCCTACCATTTGTGACGACAGGATGGACCTTGAGGGTATTATGCGAAGCAAATAAGCCAGACAGAAAAAGACAAATACTGTATGATTTCACTCATGTGGAAGATAAACAAACAAACAAACACATAGATAAGGAGAACAGACTGGTTGTTACTAGAGGGGAGGTGGGTGCGGGGAGGGTGAAAGGGGCCAAGGGGCCAAGGGACCACATGTGTACAGTGATGGATGGCAACTAGCCATCTGGTGGTAAACATGACACAGTCTATACAGAAGCTGAATTATAATGATGTACACCTGAAATTTACACAATGTTATAAACCAATGTTCTCTCAATAAAATAACAAAAAGAAAAGAAAGAACTACTACTCAAGAGGACAGGGACAATGTCCTTGTAACAAAACTTAAAGGCTCCTCAACTGTATACTTGGAAAACCATGGATATTCAGATACTTACATGTTTGGTGAGTAGCCAAGATCAACTAGGAAACCATTAGATCATCACATTCTGGTGCTAAAGTAGGATTCAAACCATACAGGCCCAAGTATGAAGTTATTACTGAGGACTGGAGTAGCTGGGAAGGCTTCAGGTGGCACAAATTGAACTTTCAGCAGAAGGATCTGGAAAATATGGATGAGCACAGGATTCATGAGGGCATTCTGGGCATCAGAAGCATTAAGTTATTTGGCATGAGGCCCTAGGAAGCAACCTGCCTGCCTGGACAGAAGGCGTCAAGCTGGAGAAGATAAGGTTAGATGACTAAGTGGAAGGCAAATCACAGGGAATCTCAGAGGTCTTTCAAACATGTTGTGTGCTTGTTCATTTATTCATTCAATATACGTAACTAACATATGACTATGTGGTTACTATGTGACAAGTACTGGATATACAACAATATGTACATCACCCTTGCCCTCATGGACTTAAGTGAGGCTAAAAGACAACAAATAAATAAACAAACATAAGTAATTACAAATAGTGATAAGCGCCCAGAAGAAAATTAATAGAGTGCAGGGGGAAGCCTGCTTGAGATCATGATGATTACAGAAGGCTTTCTAAGGTGACAGCATTTGAGACCAGAGTCTCTTCCTTTTTTTTTTTTTTTAAAGCAGGGAGCAGCTTTCTAGACAGAGGTCTCCAGATGGACGAGCCAGGGCCCTGCTTCTTGAAGCAACTTGGTATACTCAAAGAACTGAAAGGGCCAGTGTGGCTGCAGCTCGTCAGACATGGAGAAGAGTGGAATAAGGTGATGTTAGAGAGGAAAGAATAAACCAGAGGCTAATAGGGCAGGATACAGATTATGGATGTCTTCGTTAATAGAGTGGGAGGTTGACAAGCACTGACTTGCATTTTAGAGAGTTCTATGTCATCAGAGGGTCTGATTTAGTAGGTTTGGGGTGGAGAAGGGAGATTCTGCATTTCTAACAACCATCCTAGGTAACTTCTGATACAGAGACTCTTCAGAAAAGCTCCTGGAGAATCATGCTCTAAAAGACTCGCCTTCCTCTCCTTTGGTGACGTTCACCCAAGGTAAACTTTGACACAACGGCTTAGATTCTCATCTAGAGAAGTTAGGAACAAGAGACTCCTGAGTTAGGAACAGTGCAGACTTAGCTCCATGCTACACTCACACACTAAACACTGAGTGATTTGTTATAAATTACTATTTCAGAAGGACTACCACAAGGCAACTATCAGCCAATGGTTACCCAGAACTAGACGGAGCCTCCCAAAGTGCTATCCTCAGGAGAGAGGCCTAGAATGCACTAATTTTGTTCTGATGACTCCTAAAGGCTCCAAAACACGTAAGACTGTGCAGACTTCCACGGGGCAGGGGTCGTTGCCTTTGACTCCTCCTGGAACCTGGCACAATGGTGAACAGATAGCTACAAGCAAGGCACTGGTGACTGGCGCCGATTTCTGATAAGATCATCAATCAGTAACTGAAAAAGAGGCTGCTATAATTTCTGCTACAATGTATTAGTATGCCCATGAATTTCGTGCGAACTACTTTCTATAAACGGATCTCAAGCTGTACATAAAGTTGCAATTCTCAGCAGTCCGCATTTAGAGGAAGCTCTTTGTGGCTCCGGTAAAATTTTCTCTGCCACAATTCTTTAAAATTCTGTGGAAAATCACTAAGGAATGGGATAATTCCTAACCTAGTTCATTGACAAGAACAAATGTTCAGTACGTGCTTTACTAAGGAGGACCACGGAAACAATCGTTTTAAGTGATGTGCTGATTTCTTCTAAACTTTGCAGTGTATTTTACAAACAGCAATCTAACAGCCTGGAAGGTGTCAGTCTGCTGGGAGATGCCGAGCTGCCGAGGGCTCGAAGGCGCCACCACAGGCATATAGGAGATCTGGACGCCCCGCCCCCGCGCGCCGGCGGCCCTCCAGACCCCCTGCGGGCCACGCGACTGCGCACGCGCTCTCCGCCGCGAGAGGCGGGTGGCGCGCGCGCGGGTCTCCTCGCGTCCTGGATGCGGACCCCAAGTAATCGGCGTCCCCTCCTTGTGGGAAGTGGATGGATCTGCAGGAGCCAAATCTCTGGTAGTGACGAGTGAGCGAGCCAGGCTCTCGGCCTTTCATCCTGTCCGAAATAGAAGTCTCTTGGGCCTCTACCGGGACTGCCGGCTCAGAAGACAAGTGGCCTGATCCGCAGACCTTTGGGTGTGTGAGGTCGGGCCACCTGGGCTGTGCAAATGAGCTGAGCTGAGACTGGAGGGGGCATCAGAGTCAGCGGAAGCAGAGAGGAGGGAAGGGCATGCCAGGCAGAACGTTCTCTGGGTTCCGAGAAGGGAAAGCTCAGTAAACTGGGTCGGGGTGAAATAAGGGCGAGGCTGGGCTGGGACCCAGCAGCTAAGATCATTGCAGCCTTAAAAACGGCATGGGGGAGTCATGTAAAAACCTTGACTGATTTTAAGCCGGAGAGTGACGTGATGTGTGTTTCAGAGAGAGGACTGACTGCAGTGGATCAGAATGGATTAGAAAAGGCAGGGACAAGCCGCGGGCTTCAAGTTCATCTTGGCAAGAGGTGTTGGTGGCCTGAAGGAGCAGTGGGAATGGAGAATGGTGGATGGAATCCAGATATTTTGGGAAGTAGAATATATAGGACTTGGTTTTTGCCTGGATGTAGGGAGGAAGAGAGGGAGAGGTAAAGACAAATTCTGAATTCTCAGAATTCTGGTTTGGGCAGCTGTGGGTTTCTTCATTGACAGAAGAAACACAAGAGCAGGTTTTGGGGCTGGTGTCTGTGGAAGATGCGTTCACTTTAGGACATACTGAGCCTGAAGTTCAGCTGATGAAAGGAGCAGCTTGAGAAGGCCTTCACTGTGGAATTTGGCATATAAGGTAGGAGACACAGCAGTGATCATTTACAACTTTTTTCAAAGTTTCTATTGTGTCCCTTAGTTCACTTATCTTTTTTTTTGAGATATACTTGACATATGACATTATATTAGTTTCAGGTGTACAACATTAGGATTCGATATTTGTATATATTGCAAAATGATCACCACAAGTCTAGTTAACATCTAGTATCTCACATAGTCACAAAAAATTGTTTTTCCTGTGATGAGAACTTTTAAGATCTACTCTCTTAGCAACTTTCAAATATAAAAATATGGGACGTTTTATGAATTTGCATGTCATCCTTCTGCAGGGGCCGTGCTAATCTCTGTGTCGTTCCAGTTTTCATATACTGCTGCCAGAACGAGCACTGGTTCCTGTACCTTGATGGTGAACTTGTGATTAGGGAACCATTTTCTCTTGGCAGTTCTTGGGACAGGCACACTAACAATTTCTCGCTCTTTGGTTCTCTATTCCTGTTTTTCTTACTGAATCTTATCCATACCAAATGTGAGTGCTTTAGAAGAGTAACAAAAGGGAGTGACATAGGCCTGATTGCTTTTCAGTAAATAAATGCATTTGAGCTAAATGGTCAGATCTGGATGAGAAAGGAGAGGATGGCAGCCTAGAATCCCTGAGGTAAATGCTCCTCTCAGCCTCAGGGCCATGCTTCTCTTCTAGGGCCCTCTCTTTGTATCTCTCTCTCTTTTTTTTAATTGAGTTCATAATAGTTTACATCAATGTGAATTTCAGTTGTACATTATTTCTTGTCCATCACCACATAAGTGCTCCCCTTCACCCCCTGTGCCCCCCTCCCTTCCCCTGGTAACCACTGAACTGTTTTCTTTGTCCATGTGTTTGTTTATATTCCACATATGAGTGAAACCATCTGGTGTTTGTCTTTCTCGGTCTGGCTTATTTCACTTAGCATAATACCCTCAGGTCCATCCATGTTGTTGCAAATGGTATGATTTTGTGTTTTTTTCTGGCTGAGCAGTATTCCATTGTATATATATATATACACCATATATCTCCTTTATCCAATCATCGGTCAATGGGCACTTGGGTTGCTTCCATGTCTTGGCTATTGTGAATAGTGCTGCAATGAACATGGGGGTACATATGTTACTTTGGATTGTTGATTTCAAGTTGTTTGGGTAGATATCCAGTGGTGGGGTAGCTGGGTCATAGGGTAGTTCTATTTTTAGTCTCCATACTGTTTTCCATCGTGGCTGCACCAGTTTGCATTCCCACCAGCAGTGTATGAGGGTTCCCTTTTCTCCACACCCTCTCCAACATTTGTTATTTTTAGTCTTAGTGATTATAGCCATTTTAACAGGTGTAAGGTGGTATCTTAGTATAGTTTTGATTTGCATTTCCATGATGCTTAGTGATGTTGAACATCATTTCATGTTTTTATTACCATCTATATATCTTCTTTGGAAAAATGTCTGTTCATATCCTCTGCCCATTTTTTGATTGGACTGTTTGTTTTTTGTTGTTCAGTTGTGTGACTTCCTTATATATTGTGGAGATAAACCCCTTGTCAGATATATGATTTGCAAATATTCTCTCCCAATTGGTGAGTTATCTTTTTGTTTTTATCCTAGTTTATTTTGCCTTGCAGAAGCTCTTTAGTCTGATGAAGTCCCACTTGTTTATTTTTTCTTTTGTTTCCCTTGTCTGAGAAGACATGGTATTCAAAAAGATCCTTTTAAGTTCAATGTCGAAGAGTGCACTACCTATATTATCTTCCCGAGTCTTATGGTTTCAGGACTTATCTTCAAGTCTTTGATCCATTTTGAGTTTATTTTTGTGTATGGCGTGAGATAATGGTCTACTTTCATTCTTTTGCATGTGGCTGTCCAGTTTCCCAACACCGTTTGTTGAAGAGACTTTCTTTTCTCCAGTGTATGTTCTTGGCACCTTTGTCGAAGATTAGCTGTCCATAGATGTGCGGTTTTATTTCCGGGCTTTCAGTTCTGTTCCACTGATCTGTGTTCCTGTTTCTGTACCAGCACCATGCTGTTTTGCTAACAATGGATTTGTAGTATATTTTGAAGTCAGGGACTGTGATGCCTCTGGCTTTGCTCTTTTTTCTCAGGATTGCTTTAGTAATTTGGGGTCTTTGGTTGCCTCATATGAGTTTCAGGATTCTTTCTTCTACTTCTATGAAGAATGTCATTGGGATTCTGATTGGGATTGCATTGAATCTGTAGACTGCTTTGGGTAGATGGACATTTTAACTATGTTTATTCTTCCAATCCATGAGCAAGGAATCTCTTTCCATCTCTTTATGTCCTTATCTATTTCTTTCTCTAATATCTTATAGTTTTCATTGTATAAGTCCTTCACCCTTCTTGGTTAAATTTATTCCTAGATATTTTATTCTTTTTGTTGTGAGTGAAAATGGGATTATATTCTTGAGTTCTCTTTCTGTAAGTTCATTATTAGAGTATAGAAATTCAACTGATTTTTGTAAGTTGATTCTGTACCCTGCAACTTTACTGTAGTTGTTATTTATTTCTATTAGTTTTCCAATGGATTCTTTGGGGTTTTCTCTATATAAGATCATGTCGTCTGCACACAGTAAGAGTTTCACGTCTTCACTCCCTATTTGGATTCCTTTTATTCCTTTCTCTTGCCTAATTGCTCTGGCCAAAACCTCCAGTACTATGTTGAATAAGAGTGGAGATAGTGGCATCCTTGTCTTGTGCCTGTTGTCAGAGGGATGGCGTTCAGTTTTTGCCCATCGAGTATGATGTTGGCTGTGGGTTTGTCATATATGGCCTTTATTATGTTGAGGTAATTTCCTTCTATCCCCATTTTGTTAAGCGTTTTTATCATAAATGGCTGTGGGATCTTGTTAAATGCTTTCTCTGCATCTATTGAGATGATCATATGGTTTTTATTCTTCATTTTGTTAATGTGGTGTATCACATTGATTTGCAGATGTTTTGAGATTTTTTTTTTGAGGAAACTAGCCCGGAGCTAACATCTGCTGCCAATCCTCCTCTTTTTTGCTGAGCAGAAGACTGGCACTGAGCTAACATCCGTGGCCATCTTCCTTTACTTTTTATATGTGGGACGCCTGCCACAGCACGGCTTGCCAAGCGGTGCCATGTCTGCACCTGGGATCTGAACCAGCGAACCCCGGGCCACCAAAGTGCAACATGTGCACTTAACCGCTGTGCCACCTGGCTGGCCCCAATTTGTGGCTGTTGAACCATCCCTGTATCCCTGGTATAAATCCCACTTGATCACGATGTATGATCTTTTTCATGCATTGCTGAGTTGGGTTGCCAATATTTTGTTGAGGATTTTTGCATCTATGTTCATCAGTGATATTGGCCTGTAGTTCTCCTTTTTTGTGCTGTTATTGTCAGGTTTTGGTGTCAGAGTGACGTTGGCCTCGTAGAATGTCTTAGGAAGTGTTCCATCTTCCCTAATTTTTTGGAATAGGTTGAGAAGGACAGACATTAAATCCTCTCTGAAAGTTTGGTAGAATTCCTCAGGGAAGCCATCTGGTCCTGGGGTTTTAGTCTTTGGGATGCTTTTGATTACTGTCTCAATCTCTTTACTTGTGAGTGGTCCACTCAGATTCTCTATTTCTTCTTGATTCAGCTTTGGAAGGTTGTAGGAGCCTAAGAATTTATCCATTTCCTCTAGATTGTCCATGTTGTTGGCATATAGTTTTTCATAGTATTCTCTTACAATCCTTTGTATTTCTGTGGTATCCATTGTTATTTCTCCTCTTTCGTTTCTAATTTTATCTATCTGAGGTTTCTCTCTTTTTTTCTTTGTAAGTCTGGCTAGGGGTTTGTCAATTTTGTTTATCTTCTCAAAGAACCAGCTCTTTCTTTCATTGATCCTTTCTACTGCCTTTTTCGTTTCAATAGCATTAATTTCTGCTCTGATTTTTATTATTTCTCTCCTTCTGCTGACTTTGGCATTTGTTCTTCTTTTTCTAATTCAGTTAGGTGTAGTTTGAGATTGCTTATTTGGGGTTTTTCTTGTTTGTTAAGATGAGCCTCTATTGTGGTGAATTTCCCTCTTAGTACTGCTTTTGCTGCCTCCCATGTGACTTCATATGGTATATTTTCATTTTCATCTCCAAATATTTTTTGATTTCTCCTTTAATTTCTTCATTAATCCATTGCTCATTCAATAGCATGTTGTTTAGTCTCTACACATTTGTCCCTTTCTCAGCTTTTTTCTTATAATTAATTTCTAGCTTTATAGCATTGTGATCGGAAAAGATGCTTATTATTTCAATCTTCTTAAATTTATTGAGCCTTGTCTTGTTTCCCAACATATGGTCTATCCTTAGACTGTTCCATGCACACTTGAGAAGAATGCGTATTCTGTTGTTTTTGGATGGAGTGTTCTGTATGTGTCTATTAAGTCCAACTGGTCTAGCTTTTCACTTAATTCCACTGTTTCCTTGTTGACTTTCTGCCTGGATGATCTATCCATTGATGTGAGTGGAGTGTTGAGGTCCCCTACTATTATTGTGTTATTATTAATGTGTTCTTTTAGGTTTGTTAATAGTTGCTTTATGTACTTCAGTACATAGATATTTGTAAGTGTTATGTCTTCTTGATGGAATGTTCCTTTGATCATTATATACTACCCCTTCTTTGTCTCTCTTTACCTGTCTTATCTTGAGGTCTACTTTGTCTGATGTAAGTATTGCGACACTTGCTTTCTTTTGTTTGCCATTAGCTTGGAGTATTGTTTTCCATCCCTTCACTCTGAGCCTGTGTTTGTCGCTGGAGCTGAGATGTGTTTCCTGGAGGCAGCATATTGTTGGGTCTTGTTCTTTAATCCATCATGCCACTTTGTGTCTTTTATTGGAGAATTCAATCCATTTATGTTTAAGGTGATTATCAATGTATGAGGGCTTAATGCTGCCATTTTATCACTCATTTTCTGGTTCTCCTGCATTTCCTTTGTTTCTCGTCCCATGTGTTTTGTTCTACCAATTGAGTTATGTAGTTTTTCATGTTGTGTTTCTTTGTTTTCTCCTTATTATTTGTGTTACTGTTCTGCTTTTTTGGTTAGTGGTTACCATGAGGTTTGTATTCAAAATCTTGTAGATAAGATAGTTCATTTTCTGATGGCTTCTTATTTCTTTAGACTAGAGTGATTCAGTCCCTTCCTCTTCCCCTCCTAAATTGTTTTTCTCACATCTCATTCCATCTTGTGTTATGAGTTTGTGGTTAAAATGACAAGATTGTCTTTGTTTTTGGTGTTTTCCTTCCCTTTGTCTTTAATGCTATACTTGAGTATTTGCTAACCTGTTCTGAGGTATCGCTACAATTTTCTGATTTTGTCTACCTATTTATCTCCTTGCTCTGTACTTTGTAACCCCTTTCTCCCCTTTTATTTTTCTCAAGTATGAGGGCATTCTTGAGGATTTCTTGTGTGTGTAGGGGGGGTGGTCTCATGGCTATGAACTCAGCTTTTATCTGGGAAGGTTTTTATTTATCCATCATATCTGAAGGATATTTTCACTGGATAGAGTATTCTTGGCTGAAAGTTTTTGTCCTTCAAAGTTTGAATATGTCATTCCAGTCTCTCCTAGCCTGTAATGTTTCTGCAGAGAAATCCACTGAAAGCCTGATGGGGTCCCTTTGTAGGTTATTTTCTTCTGCCTTGCTGCCTTTAGTATTTTCTCTTTGTCATTGACTTCTGCCAGTTTCACTACTATATGCCTTGCAGTAGGTCTTTTTACATTGACATATTTAGGAGATCTGGTATCCTCTTCCACATGGATTTCCATCTCCTTCCACAGGTTTAGGAAGTTCTCTGCTATTATTTCTTTGAACAAGCTTTCTGCTCCATTCTCCTTCTCTTCTCCCTCTTGACTACCTATAATTCTTATGTTGCATTTCCTCATTGAGTCAGATATTCCTCGGAGACTTTCTTCATTTCCTTTTAGTCTTTGTTCTCTCTCCACCTCTATCTGGAGCATTTCAACATGTCTATAATTATGCTGATTCGCTCCTCTATGGTGTCTGCTCCAGCATTCAGGGAATCCATATTTTGTTTTATCTCTTCCATTGTGTCTTTCATCTCCAATATTTCTGATTGATTCTTCTTTATAGTTTCAATCTCTTTTGTGAAGTAGCTTCTCAATCCATTGAATTGTTTCTCTATATTCTCTTTTAACTTGTTGAATTTTTTTTTAAGATTTCATTTTTCCTTTTTCTCCCCAAATCCCCCCAGTACAAAGTTGTGTATTTTCAGTTGTGGATCCTTCCCGTTGCGGCATGTGGGACACCACCTCAGCATGGCCTGATGAGCGGTGCCATGTCCATGCCCAGTTTTCAAACCAGTGAAACCCTGGGCCGCCAGAGTGGAGTGTGTGAACTTAACCACTCAGCCACGGGGCTCGCCCCTTGATGAATTTTTTGATGATAGCTATTTTGAATTCTCTATCATTTAGATTCCATATTTCTGTGTACTTGTCATTTTCTCTCTGGTCTGGAGATTTAATATAATTTTTGATGCTGCTATAGTGTGTGGCTTTGTTCTTTCACATGCTGGCATTATTTGGTTGCAGTTACTACCTATTGCCACTGGGTAGGGGTCAAGAGCCACATATTCTGAGGCCTCTGTGATGCCCTGGGGTCCCAGGCACTGGAGCTGGCACTGGGCAGGTTGAGGGGAGGGGCACTTTCTTCTGTGTGCTTTTGGGGTTTTCTCACTCTGCTCTCGCTATCTGCTCTCCTGGTGTGTTGGCTTGATGACGTCACCTCCGAGTGAGCTTTCACCTCAGTAGGGGTTTCCCTCTAGGCTGCTAGGGCCCTTGGGGATCTTTGACATTTTCGTGAACGAACATCCCCTCCCCTCTTCCTTCCCTCTTGGAGGCCATGCACAGTCCTGGATTGCAGTCTTCTGGGGAGTGAGCAACATTTTCTCTTACCCACTCCACCTCCTCCAAGGGGGTCTCTAGCCTTTCCACCTTCTGATGTATGGCTGCATGGGTCTCTCAGGCATCTTTTGTGTCGTGCTTGGATGTTGTCTGCTGGAGTATGAATGTCTTTTTCACCATATGGTGGAGGGAGAGATCAGCGGGAGAGCTCACTCCACCATGATGCTAACGTCCTCTTTTTATCTCCTCTTTGCGTAACTTGCCTGCCTCATACTGGCTTTCTTCTTCATCCTCATAATTCTCCTCTGGTACTCCAGTGTGTAAACGGATAATAGTTTCCTAATCACCGCACTTATTTTGTACTTGTGTGGTTCCCAATGTTACTACCAGAAGATGGAATTTTCAAAGTCCTTTGATACTCTGTGCAATTTTTTAAAAAAGGAAGAAGCAGAGTAAAAAGAATGAAGCAGAAGTAGAGGAGAACACAAGCTCCTGCCATGTTGGAATTAGGATTTGAAAACAGAGCTTTTTTACTGTCCCTTCTTAGTTTTTCCTTTCTTCATTTAACAAATATCTCTTGGCATTTATTTGGTTCTAGAAACTGCTATACGTGCATTCCTGTGGGTAGTTGGAGAAGTGTGAGGATACGTACCAACCATTGTTTTCCTGCTGTTTTAAATTTATTTTTTATATTTCAGATTTGATACATGCTCACTGCAAAAATGAAATTAAAATCTAGAAGTGTGTAATAGAAGAAGTAAGTCCTCACTCTCATCTTATAACGCAGGCCCTCCAGGACCAGTTCAACTGACCCCATCTCTTATCAACAGAGTGATTAAGAATTGCCTTTCATCTCCTGCTGGACACTGGCCCAGCCTTGCCATGGTCAGTAGGGGGAGGGGCTTCTCCCCCTTAGACTTTGGAGCTGCCTTCCCCCATTCCCATAGCCCTCTCTGGGCAGAGCCAGGCCTTCCTTGACTGACCCCAAGCTGCTGCCACCTCCTCACACATCCCCACACAGCCCTGACCATGGCCATATTACACATGCTGACCTCACTCAGCAGCCAGGCCTGGCCTCCCTCTTTACCCCACCTCTGCTACTCTCCCAGAAGAAGCCTTGTCCAGCCAGAATGACGCTGTCCTGCCAGTTGGTTCCTACCCACTCCCTTTAGCCTGTTCTCTAAGCCACAAACCTCCATTTGTATGTTGCCTCCTCCAGGAAGTCTTCCAGGAAGCCCCATGTTGAGGAAGGTGTCCTCCTGCTGGCATTTCCCACACTGTTGGATCAATCATTGTATACACATTTGTTTCTTCTTCATGTAGACTTATACAAAATACATGCCTATTGAACTTAATAAATGCAGAAAATATAAAAATCCTAAAGTAAACAATGACAATCCTACCTTTCAGAGCACACTTTTTGGTGTATGTCCTTCTGTTTCTTGCTCTATTTGTGTAGATACCAAGCTGAGTTCATACTGTATACTTTTCCTTTAAAATATTACTATTTTCCTATGTAATTAAACGTTCTTTGAAATGTTTATATAATATGCCATCAAATAGGTAACCAATTTTCTTTAGTTTGTTTCCATTTGTTTGTAGTTAAAAAGAAATCCAAAATGAAAAAAAATGAGAATTGCCTTTCAGAAAATCTGCAGAATCATGTAGCTAGGGCACACACAAAAGAAGAAACGTGACCTGCAACTACCGTGGAAACAAAGATCCTCCTTCCCACAGAACCCAAGGACCGGGACACGACCGGAACTTGGCAATGGACTCTTATCAGAAGCGAGGGATCCCTCATTCAGAAGATCTGGTGTTAAAATTCCTTCCCCACCTCATCAAAAATGTTTAGAACCCCGTTAGAAATATTTAGAACCTCACCATAAAGGCTTGAAGCCCACCGGTCAAAGCCTGTCCCACCAGCATTTCTGCATGCCAACCTGTCTGTCCTCCATAACCTTTTAAATTTTGCCCCAAATCCTGAATTGGGGAGACAGATCTGAGGGCACATGCCCCCTGTTCTCCCTGCAGATCAATTTCGCACAGTAAAACTGACCTCTTTCCCCAAACGCTGATGCTGTAATTAATCAGTTTGTTTATGTGCATCGGGCAGTGAACCCCAACTTTGTGCGGTAACAGTCTCTCTCCTCTTCCACTCCATCCCACAGGAGTAACCGTTTTGGCCGATTTGGTGTGTTTCTTTCCACACATTTTTCTGCGCACATAAATAAATGATAGATATATATATGTATTACATATATATAAAACAAAATATATGTTTATATTATATACTCTATTATTTTATATAGATATAGATATATATATATATATATATATATACACACAAGATATATATATGCAGATTCCCCAGAAGACACCCTGAGTTAAGGATTATTTTGCAAGTCATTTAAGAACATGCTCCCAGGGTACAATATTGTGATTTATAAGAAATATATATTTGGTCATTCATATATGTTTAGTGTTTGTCCACAATTCCTGGCTCACAGCTCCCAATACCCTGGAATTTCTTAAGTCATAAGAACAATGGGAGCAACTTTTGTTATAATATTTGGTCTCGTCTTCAGTTCCTAAAATCTCTTCAGAGCCATAAAGGTGAAATGGTGAAATATGTGTCTTGTTATTCATAACAAGACCCTTTCCACCACAACTGAGTTTATGTTAATGAGGTGACTTTTGGAAAGCACCTAAGGATGGGGTCTGGTTGCCAGGCGAACCAACCATGAACAGAGAGTGGGAACTTTCAGTCCCATCCCCTGATGTCCAGAGAGGGGAGGTGCTGGAGGTTGAATCAATCACCAGTGGCCAGTGATTTAATCAATCATGCCTGTGTAACAAAGCCTCCTTAAAAACCCAAAAGGAGGGGGTTTGGAGAACTTCCAGGTTGGGGAACCAGAACACTTCCATGTGCCACTGTGCCAGGCCCCACACTCCACGAGGACAGAAGCTGTTTGTTTGGGACCGTGCCCTCATATATCTCTTCATCTGGCTATTGATTTGTATCCTTTAATAGCCTTTGTAATAAATCGGTGCTCTAGTGAGTAAATGGGTTTCCTGAGTTCTGTGAGCTGTTCTAACAAATTAATCAAACCCAAGAAGGGGGCCTTGGGAATCTCTGATTTATAGCCAGTTGGTCAGAAGTGCAGGTAACAACCTCGATTTGCAGTTGGCATCTAAAGTCCAAAGAAACGTTTGTGGGAACCTCCATCTGTAGTGGGTTGGTCAGAGGCACAGGCAACAACCTGGGCTTATGATTGGCATCTGAGGCAAAGGGAAGTCTTGTGGGACTGAGCTCTTAACCTATGGAATCTGAAGCTATCTCTGGGTAGATAGTGTGAGAATTGAGTTGAATTGTAGTACGCCCAGCTGGTGTTGCAGAACTGTTGGGGGTGTGAGGGACTCTCATACCCCTACATTGGAACTGGGAGCAGAACCCATGACAAGGAAACTGGTAAAGAAGTGGAGAAAGCAAGACAGGGAAAGAATAAAGGCCAAGAAAGATGCAATCTCAGATCTGCAGAGGATTGTTTCAGCCTGGTCCCACAGGGGAGTTCTGGAATATAAATTATATCAGAATCATCTCCACCACAGGCAAGGGAGTTGGGCTTTCATTCTCTCACTCCTGTTTCTCATTGGTTAAGGGCCACCCAAGGTCATGTAAATGCACAGGTACTCCCAGCTCTCTGCACATGCAGGCAAAGCAGTTCTAACCAGCCAAGCAAAGACAGTCTTCCCAATAAGACCCACCAGTGCAGGCATTTGGAAGTGAAAGTAGGTTGAATTTGGGTGAGGAGTTTGGTGTGGTACAAAATGATTTGTATCATTTTGTGTATTAGTTAGGGTTCTCCAAAGAAACAGAAAGGATATTTATTTTAGGGAATTGGCTCACATGATTATGGAGGCTGGAAAGTCTAAAATTTGCAGCATAGGCTGGCAGGCTGGAGACCCAGAGAAGAGCCAATGCTGCAGTTCAATTCTGAAGGCCTTTGGGTTTCAGATCCAGAAGAGAGTCAATGTTGTGGTCAAGTCTGAAGGCCATCAGGCTGGAGACCCAGGAAGGAGTTGATGTTGCAGTTTAAGTTTGAAGATCAGTCCACTGCAGAATTTCCTCTTGATCAAGGGAGGTCAGTCTTTTGTTTCATTCAGGACTTCAACTGATTGGATAAGGCCCACCCATATTATGGAGGGCAATCTGCTTTACTCAAAGTCCACCAATTTAAACCTTAACCCCATCCAAAACACCCTCACAAAAACATCTAGAATAATGTTTGACCACATATCTGGGCACCGTGGCCCAGCCAAGTTGACATATAAAATTAACTACCACATCTGCTCTGTTTTAATCCTTACTCTCTACTTAATGCCTTGTCCCCATCTGACTCTAGCAGCTCCAGTTCTTGCCTCATGGTTGCAAAATGGTTCATATTCTTATACTACGCTGACCACAGGAAGAAGGATCTTTCCTAATAGCCCCCAAGGAAGAGAGAAGAAGTTCCTCCTCCTCAGAAAGCCTCAAGACTCCTGGATAATCTTGGATGTGGCAGATTGTTGCTGTAATGACTCCTAATTTGTTTAAACATCCCTGTATGCACACCCTTGTATATTGCCCTCCTACACTGATTCTGGGCATGGACACTGTGACTTGCTTTGGCTAACATAATACCTTTTATATATGATGCAAGCACAGATTTAAAACTTGTTCTTTGGAACCCTGAGAGCTTCATGTGAAGCAGCCTGGAGACTGAGAGACCACACAGATCAGAAATGATTTGTCCCAGCTGAGCACCACCTCATCTCCCTGACCAACTGAACAAATATGAAAGTGAGGACATCCTAGGACATAGACCGTCTGGCCCTAGCTGAGCCAGTCCAGACCAGAAGAACCACTCAGCCAACCCACAGAACTGTGAGAAATAACAAATGTTTGTTGTTTTAAGCCACTAAATTTTGGGATAGTTTGGTTTGCAGCAAAAGCTAACTGACACACTGAGTTACTTCTCCATCTCTGAACCAGTCACTATGGCCACAGAGATGGGCTTATTGGATTAAGACAATCAGGGCCATCCTTGAAGGAGGCCTTAGAATCAACCCCACCCAAACTATATGGCTGAGAACAGAGAGATTCCTGAGGAGTCTCTGTCTTAGGGAAATAGTTTGGTTCCTGATGGTCTCATCCTTCAGGCCAGGTGCAGGCTCCAGGAGTGTAAATGCATGGGTCTGTGGAGTGCTGTTTGCTTCTGCCACACTCTTGAGTGTGAGAGGCTGAGAGAGGCTGAGGAGGACACAAAGGAGCACTGACACAGAGCCAGGCTGTCCTGAAATCTGCCATCTGATGCCAGACTGGAGCTTCAGAGGCCCATTAGGGATTCCAGAAGGGCTCACTGGAGACCTGAAGGTTCCTTTTGGATTCTGCCTTAAGTTGCCAAGGAATCAGTTTCAAGAGTCCTGTGAGAGTTATTTAGGGAAGGAGGAGACAGGGGTACAGGATGGGAGGAGGTAGGCAAGGTTGGCAAGGTTCTTGGGCTATAGGATCCTAGGGTTCAAATTTCTGCCTGCGTTTCCTTGTATTCTGGACCTTATGGCATTGCTCTGTTCCCTGAAAGGCCCATTGTGGAGGTCTCACCCCTGAGGGAATGAGGAAATGATTGTGGGTCTCTCCCCATGGGTTCTGTATCTGTCATAACAACCTCATGCAAACACCTTAGCTCATCCTCCCCATGACTTTGAACATGCAGTTCCCTTGCTGTTACTTCCTGGTATCCACCTGCTTTGTCCTCAAAATTCAACTCTAGTTCCATGTCTTCAGAAAAAGGTCCTTCCCCCACCTCAGTTAATTATTATTTTTTCTTCAGCACCATGCTTTTCTGCCGGGGTCCCGCCTCGGCGGAGTCCAGGTTCCTGAGGGATGGACGGCGTCGGCGCGATGAGGGAAGGGGAAAATAAAGGGGATGTGAGACTTGGGTTGGTGTTAGCAAGTCCGACTTTACTGTGCACAAGTGTCGTTTATATATTTTTCAGGATTAGTACAGAAATAGTTTTACAAATATTCTCAGAGAGATAAGGAAGTAAGAAACGAGCACAAGAATATTTATTAGCATTCCATTCTATAGAGCATAAGGTTAATGATCGTCTTCTCTGCAATTAACTAGTGTTTGTTGTCTCTAAGCTAAAGGAGATAGGTACCTAGGCGTCTGTTGTAATTCATGGTAAAGTTAAATCAAAGAGAGAAGGTCCAGGCCTCCGGACAGGACAGCAGCCCGTCTGGTTACATCCTGGTGGAGCCATCCCTGCCTCCCTCAATCATTTACGCCATTAGTGTAGATGGTTAATGGGAACAAAAGGCGACTCCAGGGTGTCTTATC